CATAAAACGGTGACGCGTTTCGTCCCCGATGTCCCTGGACGTTCGAGTCGGGTCGACCTCTCCCTCTCCGGGTCTCTCTCGCTCCTCCCGCGAGTCCTGCCGAGGATCCTCCACCCGCACGGAGGACGACTGCCGACCCCGTCGCTCGTGCTACCGGGATCTGCTCCCCGTCGATATCTCCAGGAGACGCGGCCTCGCGAAAGGGCACCGGGGAATATAATCCCGGTTGGGAAATAGGAGTCGTACCCGGGAATTACTCCCGACGGGGTAGTGCATCGTATGCGCGGAGTCGCGCCAGTACCGAGAGAGAGAGAGTGTAACTTTTCAGTCGACGCAGGGGAAATCCGTTAATTATCGAGCTTACCCCGGAGGTACCTGTACAGGGGAGTCGATCGTTCCGGATATCTCCACGGAGAGGCCTCTCCGCGGTTTTTGCTTATAAAACGAGTTATTTACTGGGTTACCTATTTCCCCGCCGAGCGCGGCGTCCGGAGCCGATCGTAACGTAACGTATTTATGCCTAGATGCCGCATCCACCGAGCTAATGGTCCGTTTAGCTTTGAAAACGGTCCCTTAATGGCTCCGTAAAATGTCAACGATATTTACTGCCGACCAGGCCATTTTCACGGTGCGGAAGGGCGACGCGAACGTCAGCATTGGGAAAATTGGACGGACGCGTTATTAAAATCTACGCGTCCCCGGTATTTATTAACCGAGGTCCCGGAAGAGCCGAGCGGTCCCAAGGATCTCGCCGAGCCTTTGTCCGATCTCCTGGCGATCTCGAAGATCCAGGAAGCAGAGAGGAGGCTCTTCCTTTAACCTAGATCGACCCACCGAGTCGTTTGAAAAATCCCTCGGTGGGATTAAAATCACCGTTTATCCCCGATTCCTGCGTTCCCGCGGCACCTGCTGGTCCGACTCGGCAGGCTGGGCAGAGAACGATAGAGAGAGAGAGAGAAATCCCTCGATCGCTCTCGATCGTTTTCCGGTCGATCGCGCACTCGCACTCGGCACATACGGAGAGAGCCCGATGGATTCCGAGGGGTGCGGGGAGGGCTTTTAGGAGAGGCCTAAGTGGGTACCCACGGAGCACCGGGCGCATACCGAATCCGCGGGCAAAACGCACGGCCGCGTCCTCCCCCCGCTCGGTTTTCCCTCCGCTGCTCCTCTCCCGGGCGAGCGGTTAGGCGACTTTACGGTCTAGAAAGCTCTGCCGCACATTCCGGGCGTTCCGGAGCGATCAGCCCCGCGGAAAAGAGGCCCGGGTGGAGTCGCCTCCCTGGACCGACGGAGGTACCGGAGTAAGAATCGGAGACCCATAGGCGGATTCGGTTCCGGAACCTGGACAGCGCCGAGACGCGCCATGTGTTCCTCCGCCCGCCCTGGGGAGCGGAAAGAGGCGCCCAAACCGGGCCCCATCTGGCGAGCGGAACGCCTGCGGAGGGCGGCTCGACCATCGGCTTAGACGATAACGCGCGGTTTCACGGCGCACCCGTCTCCACCGGGGAAAGTCGGATCGCGAGCTCCTCCCGTACCCCGAGACCGACGGCGGATCGACGTCGCGTTCCTGGATCCTCGAGTAGGGACCTCTCGCTTTTCCCGGAGTCCCCGCCGCGTCGGTGCGCCGCTCCAAATCACTCGGAGCATCGTGACCCGTAAAGCAGAACGGTTAATGGTGGATTTCAGGAAGCTGGAATCGAATCTATAGCTCCTCCGGGCCGTTAACCATGGTCGACGGTAATGGTGAGGCAATCGCCAGCGGACCGGTAAGACCGATAGATCGGATAGCTTCTTGCGATCGGGCATGAGTCATTGCCGAGGCACTGTGCATTCGGGATCGTTAAGTGGCTCAAATGTCCGGCCGATGTCTCGCGGCGAGTTCTCGATGCAAACGAGCCCTCCGCCCGCCGATTACCCGCTCCTCCTTTTTCCCCGGGACTTTTTCCGACTCCATAGCGACGTCTCTCGAGGATCTCCTGAGTCCCCCTCTTCGTCTCTCTCTCTGTCTCTCCCGACTCTCCAGGAGGAGCGTCCCGGCCCGATCCGGCTGGGAGGGAAGGAGGGAAGAGGGATGCGTCTCGCGTCGGCCGCGATGGACGCCGCTCGACTGACGAGGAATAATAAATCGTCCGCGGACCCTCGTGACGTAGGTCGTCGACGCGCCGGTGGGAATTATCGCGATACCGCTCGCTAGCGCGCGGATAAGAATAGAATTATTAAGCAGACCCGCGGTTGGCCGGTAACGCGATACAAAGGGAAGCCACAATGGTCCCCGCTGACGAGTGATCGATCGAGCCCGAGTCGATCGCCCTCGCGAGAATATAAATCCCGAGATGAGCGCGGACCGACGGAGGCGGGGTGACGACTTAACGAGAGAGAAAGAGAGGGCCCCGACGACGGCGACGACTTAACGAGACCCGCTCCGCTGCGTCGGCGCCGTCGGAGGGATTCCTTCGGATTCCGCCCTCAGAATTTCGGCTCTCCGCGATATGCCTCTCGAATTTTATTAGAGCCGATCGCCATTGACTTTACACGGTGAACAACGCGATCGGGTGACAAGTGACGTTCAGCCTTAAAAAGTTATGACAATGCTTCGGTGATCTTCAGCGATTTCCGTCGATTTATTTGGTGTGTTAAAAATCCATGATTTCCCGAGGGGATCGCCGATCGCCATTGATTTTACACGGTGAACAACGCGATCGACAAGTGATGTTCAGCCTTAAAAAGTCATGACAATGTTTCGGTGATCCCCAACGATTTCCGTCGATTTATTTGGAGTGTTAAAAATCCATGATTTTCAGAAGGGATACCCCCTCGCTCTCCTTCGACGAAGTGCGAGATCGGGAACAGGAAGCGTCGGGGCGATCGAGACGCGCGGTCTAGGTGCGCGTGCGCAAAATAAACGATCTTAGACCGGAGATCGGGAGAGAGAAAGACGATCCCCGAGGTAGGCTGTAATAAACTGCAATTGCGCCCGGACACCTGACCAAAATCGGAATCTCGCGACAGGTACATACCGCGACGAAACCGAAACCGGTCCGACTTCGTACCGAGCGGGTTTTCCTTTTTCCCTCGCGGGTGCGGATCGAAAATCGGCGCGCCGTCCCGTGGGTGGGGGTCGATTCTAACCGTGTAAAAGAAAGCTCGGAATCGAGGCGATGTTTGGCCTGTACATTAAGCAGAAGTTAAGTGAAACCGGCTCCGCGAGAAAGGTGCGCGCTCATCGGCGCCGAGGCTCGTGTCGGTGGCCGCACACACCGAGCCGAGCTTGTGAGAATAATCCGCGAACAAAACTGCAGGAGCGCACAAAACCTCGAATTGAGATGTAGAACAACCCTCAATTAGATAGCGGTTAATTACCCGGCCCGATCGTCATCTAACGCGGATGCGTACATGCACCGGGGGCCGGTTTAAAACCCGGCTGGAAACGAACAATTAACCGTGAACTGGCAGAATCCGCGAGTTCTCGTTAGGCAACCTCTTACTCCCCGTAGAAGACTCACGAGGTGCGCCTCCTTTCCCACGCGACCTCCTCGAGTTTTCGAGAACCCGCGAGACCCTTCCCTTCGAGTTGCCTCGACCGAAAAAACCCATCAGAGGTCCGGAACAAAAAAAAAAAAAAACCCGAAGTATGAGATACAACGCCACGTATCGAGATCGTCGCCACCTTAGTCTAAGTGCCTCCAGTGCCAAGAGCGCCTCCCATATTCCAATTAAAAATTATTAGAAAACATCACATCCGGTATGTCATCACGAGTACCGTGTCACTTGGCATACCTTAATCATCGAATTGAAAGCATCACCGGTAATGATCAACATCGATAGGAAGTCTCTCGGTCACGTGGTACTGGAGTTCCCTAATTATCCGCAAGTGGCGCTCGCGTCGCAGGATCATCGAAAGTCTAAGACCCCGGGTCCCGATTCCGTGGAATCGACATTGGCGTTCTCCCTCACACTACATCACGGGAAGAGGAATCGAGGGCGAGAAAGGAAACGCGAGAAAATCGCGGAAACCGTGAAAAGGTTGCGACCCGACAAAACCCACAAGCCGTGCCTCCGCGTTGAAGGCGCGTGGGTGGAAGCTCCTCCGCGCTTTGTCTTAACGATAATCACCGCCGTCTAGCAGAAATCGAACGCCGTTTCCATTTCCCGTGTAATCAGACCTCGGGCCCTGTCCTCCCCTCTCGGCCCCCCGCTTTGGCTGCGTTTACTTAAACGAGGCCCTATCGCGAGTCTTAACGCAAAGTTCATCCGCTAGGTGGCGAGTCCCCCGGGGCCAAGCCACGTCGCCGGAGTAATCACTGTAATTTAGCGCCGCGCCACGGCATAATTTCGGAGCCCGTTCGCGCGATCGCGACGCTTTCATTGGATTCCATTAAAGCGAGATTCGGGACGGCCGCGACGGTGCAACCGCGAATTCGCGAGTCCGCGCCCTCCCCCCACAAGCGAGATAATGTAGGCCACTCGATTACCGCGGAGAAAAGAAAAGAAGAAAAAAAAAAAATAAAATGAAAAATCGATCCCCTTTTCCAGGAAAACGCTTCCCTTTCGGCGAGAACCGGGTGGTCGGGATAACCAGCCTCGATATCTCGATCCGCCGATCGAGACGCATCGATCCTCGGAGCGATCCACTCCAACGCAGAGAAATACCAGATCTTTCGCACGGGTACGATTGGCAAACGAATCCCTCCGCCTGGAATCGCGTCCATCACATATCTCATAAATCATCCCTGGGAACAACGGAACCCAGGATAAATGAAAAAAAAATAAACAAAAGGATAACCAGCTCAACGGCAATTATTTCCAGCGGCGTAACTGGATATCACCGCGGCGCCCGTACCCTGGTGCACGGACTCGAATGCCTTCCTAGGGGGTATTGGAACACATTTGCAGGGAAGACATTCATGTCCGTCTATGCACGGTCGTTGCGTTTCCACGTCACGGCGCGTTGCCAGGAGAAGACGGAGGGATTCGAGTCGTAGAAAGGAGTCCCGACTTACCGGAGCGGGGGAGTGCAGTCCCCCGAGGGCGGAGGACCTCCACTTGCGCTGCCTGGAGTAGTGGCCCCCGTAGTGGGGCTCGTTCCGGTGGCTGCCGTAGGGCCGCTGGACGGGAGGGACGAATCCCTGATAAGGAACGCCAGGATAGGAGGGGACGCATTTGGCCGAGTCCCCGCGTCGAAAGACGTCCTGGCGCTGGGAGTACCCGTCCGCGTGGCGGAAGCCCTGAGAGCGGTCGAGGTCCTGGTCGAGCTTCCGGTCGGGGGAGGGCCGGAAGGCGGCGGCGTGCCGATGGACCGGCGGGGGTCCGTAGAAGGGCGAGAAGGGCCCGAAGGGCTGGCGGGGGTGGATCTTCGGGTACTGGAGGCAGAGGGACTCCCGGTCGCAGCCCCGGAAGTCGACCCTGCCGAAGTCCTCGGCGCCCGGCTTGGGCTCGACCGCGGCGTCCTCCTCGGGGCCCTCCTGCTTGACCCTGACCTTGGCGTCGATCGCGTCGGGGGCGTTAACGACGGAGGAGCAGGTCGCGTCGCCGGCATCGGGAGCTTCGCTCTTGACGAGGAACTCCCGGGCCTGGCCGGGCTCGGGCTCGCCTAGGCTCGCCTGCTGCATGTCGGGGCGACGCGGCGACGTCGGTCGCCGTCGGTCCCCGCTCGCGGGGCATAAGCGACGTCGGATCCCCGGCGACGCGGTCGCGGTCGCGCGACGCCCGCCGGCGGCCTCGCGGCGCGCGCGGTCCTCTGGCCGGCGTCGCGGTGGAGGGGCGCGCCACGTGGAGGGGAGCCCAGGGCGGCCTGACAGTTTCCGTGTCACGTGTCTCCGACCTTAGGCCCCGCCCACTCCCGGCCACTTATCGCTCCGATTTTCCCGCCGTCCGGAAGCGGTCCCCGGGCCCGCTCCCGTAGAAGAGTCTCGAACGCTCGTCTCACTCCCGCACTCTCACCTCGTCCTCTTCCGATGCTCGCCCGGTCCGTCCTGGCCTCGCCGGCGGGGGAGCTCTCGCTCGGCGTCCTCCACTCCTCGCGGCGGCGCCTCGCCGTCTGCCGGGCGACGCTCGCGAAGACGCCCGCCGCGGCGGCGCTCGACTTTCGACGGAGGACCGCGACCGCGTCCCGACACTCGCGACACCTTCCGGGAGCCTCAACGGCCGCGGGATTCGAGCCGGCCACCCGGCGAGCCGCGATACGCAAAGAAAGCCGGGCCCCGGCCGAGCCGATCGCGTACGAGTTTCATTCCACGCAGCACGAGACTCCGCGGAGGTGCGCGGCCGCCGCCGCCTCACGGAAACGCCCGAGCCCCGCCGAGCGCGGCCGAGCGCCCTCTCGCTCCCTCTCCCGGCGCCTGCCGGCGGCAGCGGCGGCGGCGCGATCTTCGCCGAGGACCCACTTCGCGGCTCACCTTTTGTAACCTCTGCGCGCCCGCACGAGTCCTCCCACTCGGCTGCAACGGCGATCCCGATTATCCGAGTACGTAAGCCCTCGACTCCTCGCGCGACGAAAGGCCCTCCCGAATCTGGGAAACTCCCGGGACGCCGGCCGAGAGGTTAGGCCTTACCGACGAGTTTGCTCGGTCGGACGCGTCGGCCTCCCTTCGAGGCACGCCGCGGACTGCTCGCCAGGGGGCGGGGTAACCTATAACCTATTCGGGGCCAACGAACGGGGAAAGGAAGCCAGTCATTGGGCCGCGTCCCTCCTAATTGGGTCACTCTCGGTTTCTACCGATGTTACGTTATTCGATCTGCGGAATGCGACCTCTACGCTCTCCTTGAACGAGGACAAAGGCTCTCGGTGCGCGTCGCATCGCGCAGTCTCTTACGGGGCGTTCGATCGGAAACGCGCTCCGGTTCTTTCGAGAGCGCGGCATTTCCGCGTCTACGTACGCGGACGACCTTAACCCGGCTGCGGCCGAGTTATCGGCCGCGCGTTATCGTCGATCGGACAGCTGCGGCGGTCGTAAACATATACCCTTAGAAGCCGAGGCGATTTTTAGCCCTCCGCGAAACTCTGTCGCGGGTTCCGCGAATCTGGGTCGACCGTCACCGGGATGACTGACAGGGACCTCTCCCGCCCCCGCGATCCCCGACCCAGGAAAGAACCCGCCTACGGCGTACAAAGGTCACGGAAACGCGACGGAATCGAGAAGACATATTGGGACCGAAAAACTCGCATCCGGCCCGGTTACGTAAGTACTCCCGACATTGCGCTCCGAGATAACTCGGTGAGCCGGTCGTCTATCGTTTGAGCTGGCGGAGAAAAGAAAAAAAGAATCGTCAAGGAATCCATGATTGCGGTAAGCCTAACCATTTTAGGACAACCTTGCAGTAAACGCAACAACGGTTACTTTGCCATCTAGTCAAGGTTACTACAAGCCACGTGTTGTTGTACCGTGCTTATCGTAATCTCTTTGTATGCTCTCTAGTTTGACCAAATTACTCTAGTTGCCACAACCTCCTGAGACGGTTATCCCAATTGAGATTTCCTTCACTGTTCTTTTCTCTTTTTCTTCCATGCTGAAATGGTAAATAATGATTTTCTGGTTTTGGTAAAGGGAACGTCGAGGAGTTCAGACGACATGCTTGAACTGGAACGGATGACGCAATAGAAGCAACTCTTACAGGATTCCACGATCGTTAGAGTAGGTGGTTTTCCTGACCGTTCTTATTTTTTTTTTTTCATGATAAAATAGGGAATAGTAATTTTCCATTTAAAGGGAACGTGGAGGAGTTTGGACGTCGATATTGGAGCTGGAACCGGTGACAAGATGAAGACGGCTCGAGCAGGATTCCACGAGGTAAAGTTAGAGTAGGTGGTTTTCCTGACCGTTCTTATTTTTTTTTTTTCATGATAAAATAGTGAATAATAATTTTCCATTTAAATGGAACGTCGAGGAGTTTGGACGTCGATATTGGGACTGGAACCGATGACGCAACGGAGGCGGGTCGAGCAGCATTTCACGGGGGATCGTTAAGGTAAATGTACATTTTCCGAGGTTTTCCGACCGCCATTAGCCAGCGCCGATGGAGCCAATATAAGAGCGGGGCTCCACGGCATCGGCGAAGCACTATTTGATGCCCCATCGAGTATGTGCGCCGGCGTTGCGCAATACGTACGTGTCCGCTGTCCGGCAGGTCGTCCGCAAGGGCGAAGCGGCCGGGAATAACGAACTCGACGGATGGGGTGTTTACTCGTTTTTCCCGGAGCCGTAATTTCGTCCGAAGCTCTTTCCGCTGGAACGGATCCCCGAGCCGGCGTATATGCTCACCAACGGGGAGGGAACACCGATTTGCCCGAGAAACTCGATTTAGGGATTGTTTCCAATGAACTCGTTAACGCGCATAATACTTGCTCCCCACGACCTCGTTAACAATGCCTCGCGGAATAAAGTTCCAGCACCGAGGGAAAAGAATACACTGACCCAAAGGAATATTTTCTTAACCCTAGGAACAATTGATCGACCCAAATGAACAGTCGCAATTCCTAATAAATACTGCAATGCAATTAATTCCAGGGAAATAATTGATCTTGGAATTAACGAAATATTTCCTCGGTACCGTTCTAAGATATATTCCTTTGGGCTACGTGACATTTATTTTTGAGGGTAAGAGGGATCGATGCTCGGAGGCTTTTTATAGGTAGTCGATGAACGATTTGAAAATATCGAACCACCGCGCCGAGGAGTCGAACCTCCAGGCGCAGAAAAGTCGGGCAAGGGTGGGAGGCCGGTTTTATGGCAATTTACAGCAATTTACAGCGATCGCGCATTAACCGCGGCCCCGTGCTTAAGTTAACACGAGTCTCGATCTCGCGGTCTAAAAGCGGCTCGGCTCGTCTTTACGCACCGGCGATCCCGGTCTTTGAAGCCGGCGATTCCCCGGAGACGGTAAAAATGAGTTATGCCACCGAAGGCGGTTCTGGAAAACCGCGTTTTACCGGCGGCGGCGGCGGCGGCGCGTTTCGAGACGGGGCCCGAAGCTCGGGCCTAATCGGGCTGCCGGGATCGTACTTGCACTCGGCGCGAGAATTATCGCGGGTCGATGCAAGCGGGCCGCGGGTGTATGGATAGCCGATAATTAATATTTCCCGCGGTGGAGAAAAAAGAAAAAAAAAAAGAAAAAAACCCGCGAGAAGATCGGCCGGCGAGAGGGGCGTTCTCGGAGGTCTTAAAGGCGAACGAGCGCGAGAAGTGCACCCTCCGCTGCAATTAGGGTCGCACCCTGTTACTTCTTGCGCCGCGAGCCGCACGCGGAAGCGCACCGAGGTCCGGGCCGGACGCGGATGCACCTCGACCGACGATGGGAGGGAAAAATCGAAAAAAATCTGTATCTAACCCGTTGGTTACGGAGCCCTTTCGACATATGGGCGAAATTCATGAAGGCGCGCAGGCAACATTGGACCAAACGTCGAACGTCTTAGGCGCGCTTAGTAGCCAAAGGGTTGAAAGAAAATCCTCCCCGAGTGATTTGGTTTTTTTTTTTTTTTTCCGGAGACGGTTCCGCAAGGTTTCAAAGTCATTTCCGAGATCCAGGAGAGTCGGCCCTTGAGTCCTGGTGGCATCGATCGAAGGTCGGGTCTACCCGCGACTCCGTGGCCGCAGCCGCGGGGCGAGCGGCCGGTGTCCTTTCCCGCGGTTGCGGTGCGGCCGGCGAATGGGCGTGCGTCCTTGCGCCCGGGGACAAGAGCGGCCAATGGTGGCCGGGAAGGCGTGGATCCGAGGACAACGCGACCGCGAGCACGACACCGGGAGGGGGAAGGGGAAGTCCCCCGGCGACAACGGAATTCCCCTGTCGCGCGGTCGCGACCTCTCTCTCGTGACCGTTCCCGCTCTCTGTCGCACCGTCGCGACTCCCCTTCGGCACGTGGAGGGGAGCCGACGGAGGGGCCGCAGGGGAAGAGCTACCCGGAGAGGGGAACCCTACACGCCCATCGGTCGCCGAGTGGGGCGACGCGAGGTCGTCGCGCGGAGGAGAGACCGCCGACCGGAGAGAGACGGAGAGACCGCCGCGTCTGCCGGCGAGCGGACCGCGGGCTGCGGCCGCGGAAACCCCGCCGTCGTCGTACCGCGCGACCGCCCGGGACCGCGTCTACGCGACCGAGTTCCGGCTCGAACGCTCTCGTTCCCTGATATCGATCTTTCGGCGCTATCGAAGCCAGGATCGTTATTCAATGCAAAACGATGTTCTCACGCTACGTACCACTTAAGTATCACTTAAGTCGCTCCTGTGGCGCTTATTTACATGTTACGAAATGCTGCCTTAAGGCGACCGCCGAGGTGCTCGGGTTCCGCAGATCGAGCCGAATGAGCCAGGCGTACCCGCGACGCGGAAATTTAGGGTTTCCGTCTACGTATTCCGCGCCCACCTGGGACAGGCACGCGGATTTCCGCTCGAAACCCGCGCGATGCGGTATGGGCTCTGCTCGACGTTACTTTTCTTTTCTTTTTTTCTCTCTCTTTTTTTCTTTCTTCCCTCGGGTACCGAGACCCACGGCAACCCGACCGCCTGTACAATTATCGTCGTGAAATTGCCCGCGGAATTTATTAATTTCGATGCAACTATGCGGTGCACCCGTGTGCACCGGATGCACCTCCGTTTGCGCGCGCACGGTGCCTTCCAC